GTCTCGTAATGCTGAGGTACAAATACTTGGTCCAGTTATGTGCTCTGTAATGTTGAGGTACAGTACTTGGTCCAGTTATGTGTCTCAGTAATGTTGAGGTACAATCTTGGTCCAGTTATGTGTCTCAGTAATGATGAGGTACATCCTTGGTCCAGTTATGTGTCTCAGTAATGTTGAGGTACAATCCTTGGTCCAGTTATGTGTCTCAGTAATGTTGAGGTACAGTACTTGGTCCAGTTATGTGTCTCAGTAATGTTGAGGTACAATCCTTGGTCCAGTTATGTGTCTCAGTAATGTTGAGGTATAATCCTTGGTCCAGTTATGTGTCTCAGTAATGTTGAGGTACAGTCCTTGGTCCAGTTATGTGCCTCTGTAATGCTGAGGTACAGTACTTGGTCCAGTTATGTGCCTCTGTAATGCTGAGGTACAGTACTTGGTCCAGTTATGTGCCTCTGTAATGCTGAGGTACAGTACTTGGTCCAGTTATGTGCCTCTGTAATGCTGAGGTACAGTACTTGGTCCAGTTATGTGCCTCTGTAATGCTGAGGTACAGTACTTGGTCCAGTTATGTGTCTCAGTAATGTTGAGGTACAATCCTTGGTCCAGTTATGTGTCTCAGTAATGTTGAGGTACAGTACTTGGTCCAGTTATGTGTCTCAGTAATGTTGAGGTACAGTACTTGGTCCAGTTATGTGCTCTGTAATGTTGAGTGTACTGGTCCTTGGTCCAAGTTGGTACGATGCCTTGTATGTTGTAAGGTTAGTACTTGGTCCAGTTATGTGCCCCTGTAATGTGAGGTACAGTCCTTGGTCCAGTTATGTGCCTCTGTAATGCTGAGGTACAGTACTTGGTCCAGTTATGTGCCTCTGTAATGTTGAGGTACAGTACTTGGTCCAGTTATGTGCCTCTCTAATGCTGAGGTACAGTACTTGGTCCAGTTATGTGCCTCAGTAATGTTGAGGTACAGTCCTTGGTCCAGTTATGTGCTCAGTAATTGAGGTACAACTTGGTCCAGTTATGTGTCTCAATAATGTTGAGGTACAATCCTTGGTCCAGTTATGTGTCTCAGTAATATTGAGGTACAGTACTTGGTCCAGTTATGTGTCTCAGTAATGTTGAGGTACAATACTTGGTCCAATATGTGTCTCAGTAATGTTGAGGTACAATACTTGGTCCAGTTATGTGCCTCTGTAATGCTCATGTACAGTACTTGATCCAGTTATGTGCCTCTGTAATGCTGAGGTACAGTCCTTGGACTGTATTTAACTTCATTACCTAACAGAATACTCCATTCTACTGATTACACAGCAACACAGTAAATGACCACATGACCTGTCTTTGTAATACTCATTTGTGCTAAATTGTTATCTGTTTACAATAATGTTTTACTACTGAATACATCATTGCTTAGTTAATCTTAAGTTAATTTTAAGCCTGCCAGTAATGCTATGCATACAAGGGCTTTGGTATGCTGCATTTAACTGTATTCTTTTGTACTTCTCTGTATCATGTTCAAATAAATAAAGAAATAAATAAATTAATAAATAAATTATGTACTCACCTATTTTTGGTTGCAGTGGTTGATCCGTAACTCCTGGCCCCACCTCTTCACTAGTCGTTACTAGGTCCACTCTCTCCCTGCACCATTAGCTTTAAAACATCAAAATGGTATACAATACCGACAGGTTGTTAGGTAAGACACATATGCAACAGTTAGACAACTTTATTCCGAAACGTTTCGCCTACACAGTAGGCTTCTTCAGTCGAATACAGAAAGTAGGCAGGAACAGTAGAGAAGTGAAGACGATGTAATCAGTCCATCACCCTTAAAGTCGTAGAATTTGAGGTTGTCAGTCCCTCGGCCTGGAGAAGTTCAGTTCCATAGTCAGGAACTATCGATAGATAGTTCCTGACTATGGAACTGAACTTCTCCAGGCCGAGGGACTGACAACCTCAAATTCTACGACTTTAAGGGTGATGGACTGATTACATCGTCTTCACTTCTCTACTGTTCCTGCCTACTTTCTGTATTCGACTGAAGAAGCCTACTGTGTAGGCGAAACGTTTCGGAATAAAGTTGTCTAACTGTTGCATATGTGTCTTACCTAACCACCATTAGCTTTATCGTATCTTTTCTTAAAGCTATGTATGGATCCTGCCTCCACTACATCACTCTCCAGATTGTTCTTCTTCCTAATAACTATATGACTGAAGAAATACTTTCTAACATCCTTTACCTGGAGTTTACCTGGAGAGAATTCCAGGGGTCAACGCCCCCGCGGCCCGGTCTGTGACTATGTCTCCTGGTGGATCAGAGCCTGATCTGAGTTTTTATCTTCCAGTTGTGTACTCACCTAGTTGTACTCACCTAGTTGTACTCACCTAGTTGTACTCACCAAGTTGTACTCACCTAGTTGAGGTTGCAGGGGTCGAGTCCAAGCTCCTGGCCCTCACCTCTTCACTGGTCGCTACTAGGTCACTCTCCCTGAACCTTGAGCTTCATCATACCTCTGCTTAAAGCTATGTATGGATCCTGAGTCCACTACATCGCTTCCCAAACTATTCCACTTCCTGACTACTCTGTGGCTGAAGAAATACTTCCTAACATCCCTGTGATTCATCTGAGTCTTCAACTTCCAACTGTGTCACCTTGTTGCTGTGTCCAATTTCTGGAACATTCTCTCTCTGTCCACCTTGTCAATTCCTCTCAGTATTTTATATGCCGTTATCATATCCCACCTATCTCTCCTGTCCTCCAGTGTCGTCAGGTCGATTTTCCTTAACCTCTCCTCGTAGGACATACCCCTTAGCTCTGGGACTAGTCTTGTTGCAAACCTTTGCATTTTCTCTAATTTCTTAACTTACCTGGAGTATACCTGGAGAGGGTTTCGGGGGTGAACGCCCCCGCGGCTCAGTCTGGGACCAGGCCTCGTGGTGGATCAAGGGTTGATCAACCAGGTTGTTACTGCTGGCAGCGCGCAAACTGACGTACGAACCACAGCCTGGCTGGTCAGGTACTGACTTTAGGTGCCTGTCCAGTACCTTCTTGAAGACAGCCAGGGGGCTGTTGGTAATCCCACTTATGTACGCTGGGAGGCAGTTGAACAGTCTTGGGCCCCCGACACTTATTGTGTTGTCTAGTCTTTTGCTTTCATAGGGAGTAATTTTCGTGTGCAGGTTTGGTACTAATCCCTCTAGATGTGTGAACTAAGTGCACCAGCAATCGACCTGCGGGACACATAATATTGCTGCTCTTGTAGTCTCAGGTTAACCTTAAGCTTACCCGAAATACTCTGTATGTATATAACCAAGTGGCACCCATTCCTGCATCTAGACCAGTGTCAGTAGGCAAAGTGTATAGCAGGCAAAGTCATGGAGAAGATTATCCGGAGGAGAGTGGTGGAACACCTGGAACGGAACAAGATTATAAACGACAATCAGCACGGATTTATGAAAGGCAAATCCTGTGTCACAAACCTACTGGAGTTTTATGATAAAGTAACAGTTAGTCGAAAAGTTAGACACGAGAGAGAGGGGTGGGTTGATTGTATCTTCATGGACTGCAAGAAGGCCTTCGACACAGTTCGTCACAAGAGATTAATGCAGAAGCTAGGGGATCAGGCACTTATAACAGGAAGGGCACTGCAATGGATCAGAAAATACCTGACAGGGAGGCAACAACGAGTCATGGTACGTGATAAGGTATCACAATGGGCACCTGTGACGAGCGAGGTCCCACAGGGGTCGGTCCTAGGACCAGTGCTATTTCTAGCTTATGTGAACGATGTGATGAAAGGGTTAGACTCAGAAATGTCCCTGTTCGCAGATGAAGTGAAGTTAATGAGGAGAATTAAATGAGATGAGGATCAGGTAGGACTTCAAAGAGACCTGGACAGGCTGGACACGTGGTCCAGCAACTAGCTTCTCGAATTTAACCCCGCCAAATGCAAAGTCATGAATATCGATGAAGGACAAAGAAGACCGCAGATGGAGTATAGGCTAGGTGGCTAAAGACTGCAAACCTCTTTCAAGGAGAAAGGTCTTGGGGTGAGTATAACACCGAGCATGTCTCCGGAAGCACACATCAGCCAGATAACTGTTGCAGCATATGGGCGCCTGGCAAACCTGAGAATAACGTTCCGATACCTTAGTAAGGAATCGTTCAAGACAATGTACACCGTGTACGTCAGACCCATACTGGAGTATCCAGCACCTGTTTGGAACCCGCATTTGATCAAGCACGTCAAGAGATTAGAGAAGTACAAAGGTTTGCGACAAGGTTAGCTCCAGAGCTAAGGGAAATGTCCTACGAAGAAAGGTTAAAGGAAATCGGCCTGACGACACTGGAGGACAGGAGGGTTAGGGGAGGCATGATAACGACATACAAAATACTGCATGAATAGACAAGATGGACAGAGACAGGATGTTCCAGAGATGGGACACAGAAACAATGGGTCACAATTGGAAGTTGAAGACCCAGATGAGTCAAAGGGATGTTAGGAAGTATTTCTTCAGTCATAGAGTAGTCAGAAAGTGAAATAGCTTATCAAGTGGACCAAGTAGCACTTAGTGAAGAGGCGGGGCCAGGAGCTGAGTCTCGACCCCTGCAACCACAATTAGGTGAGTACAATTAGGTGAGTACGCATTGTATCATGTAAATATCGCAAACCAAGCGAAACATGATGCAAAACACCCATGGGGGTGGGGGGGGGGAGGAATAGAATGATAGCTGTAGGCCTTTCGTGTTGTAATAAATGCATTATCAGTAGCTTGCAGTGTTGTAGAAAAGAGGAGGATGTCCAGGCAAGTATGATCCAGTGAAGACGTCCCCTGGGATCATATTTGCTTGGACATCCTCCTCTTTTCTGCAATGTTGCAAGCTCCTGATGATGTGTTGATTGCAACAAGAAAGGCCTAGAGCTATCATTCTACTCCTCTCCCCCCCCAGTGGTTATTTTGCACATTTTGTCATGTGGAAATGAACTTTGACTTATTTTCAGATCCTGCCAGCAGTGTCGAACAAGACGACTGCTGCTGACGGTGCTGTTCAATTGTTCATCACTGATGAGGAAGCCATAGCTGAGCCACCATTCTCAGTATATACCATGCTCAAGAGGAAAGCTGAGGAATATCCACAACATCCTGCCCTGGCTGTCAAGAAAGGGGGTGTTTGGAGGTTAGTGGTTAACTTTACAGGTGATGCTTCGACATAGGTGGTGCATGGAGCTAGTGGGGGGGTTATCTTGACAGGTGGTGCTTAGAGGAACGTGGTTAACTTGACAGGACACACAGTGACACACAGTAACACACAGAAAAACACAAGGACATATAATAACAAATAGAAACACAGAAGAACACAGGGACCACAGAGACACATGGGGAAACACAGGAACGGATAGGAACACAAGAACACAAGAGACACACAGGAACACACAGGGGCACACAGAGACACACACTAAACTATAGACCAGAAGGATCTTGGGGGTGAGTCACACAGCAACACAGAGACATACAGCAACACACAGAGTCACACTGGGGTGGAAGAGTGGCACTGCTCATCGAAAACCGATGGCATTTTGATGAGCTGGAGAGAGGAGACAGAGGTGAAGCAAGAGACTACATAATAGGAATACAGTCTGTAGTTCCCAAGGTGGTAATTGCAGTGATGTATAACCCACCACAAAACAGCAGGAGGCCAAGGCAAGAGTATGGTGAGAGTAATAGAGCGATGGCTGACACACTCGCTGAGGTAGCCAGAAGGGCTCATGCAAGCAGGGAAAAGCTACTGATCATGGATGACTTCAACCACGAGGAAATCGACTGGGAGGACCTGGGGCCACATGGGGGCCAAGATACATGGAGGGCTAAGATGATGGAGGTGGTGCTGGAAAACCTCATGTATCAACACTTAAGAGACACTACCAGAGAGAGAGGAGATGATGAACCAGCAAGACTGGACCTAGTATTCACATTGAGTATTGCAGATATTGAGGACATCACATATGAGAGACCCCTCAGGGCCAGAGATCATAGTAGAGTTACAAGTGGAGAGGGAAGCAGGAAGGGTAGGACGAATGAAGCCAGACTACAAGAGAGGGGGACTATACAGGCAAGAAGAATTTCCTACACAGGGTTAAGTAGGACAGAGAACTGATAGGGAAGTCAATAAACGAGATGATGGAATATGTGACAACAATATGCAAGGAAGCTGAGGAGAGGTTTGTGGTACTGCCAGCCAGGACACAACCCTCATCACCCACCGGCACCACCACAACACACGACAGACAACAACAAATATGGCCGCCGTCACAGTCCAAGATAACTCCTTCCCAGTATTTGATGTCAGAAATAGCTAAACTCTTTACGATTCAGAACCAAACGATCACCAAACTAACTCAAGAAATGCAGGAACTAAAAGCTAGCAATGCAGATTACCTCAACAAGATCACTGCTCTTGAACATAAACTAGACACTCTGGAACAACAAAGCAACACCCACACCCAGTCCCTAGACACCATCAACACTCTAAAAGACCAAGTCACCCTACTTACTACCAACATTACAGAGGAAAGATCAAGAGTGAACCAACAACTTGCCAATGTCATAACCAACTTCAAAGACCATAATGACCAACAGCAGCTATCTGACGCTGTTGTAGTTAACAGCAAACATCTCCCACCCACAGTCACCCAAGAGACCTGCATGGAGACCACCCTACAGCTTATCAAGCACCACCTTCGCCTTAACATACGTAATGATGACCTAAAGGATTGCAAACTGATGGGCTACCAAGCAGGTAAAAAAACAGTGCTGTTAAAATTCCAAACTAGCCTACAAAGAAACAACCTACTAAAAACATCTATTTCTATGAAATCTGATGTTTACGTCAATGAGTGCCTTACCAAAATAAGACAAAACCTTCTTTATCGGCTAAGAAAATTACACTATGCCCAAAAAATCCACCAGTGCTTTGTGAGGGATGGAAAAATCGCAGTTAGGAAACAGCCCACTGGGAAGAGATACTTCATCTCTACAGAACATGACCTTAAAACATTCCTAAGTGAGGCTGGACTAACAGAATCAGAGTAAAGTGCAGATAATACCCATAGTCCACCGTTAGTGTTATATTGTCATAAATTTGTTCCCCCCTAAAATTCTAATACCCCAACTACTTTTGATTGCCATTGTTGTATTCAACGACCATTCTACCTCATAATCTTAATTTGTTTAATATCTACAGAATCTATCTCCTTTTTTTACAACTTACCGCACCACCGTTCCATCTTATTTTATTATAAACTAGCCATAACTTGTCCTCAATAATTCTACCTCACTTTAAGAAATACTCAATTGCCCAATTTTATTCTAAAATCCCTATTATTGCCCAATTTTGCTTTAAACTATATTGATCAAACTTATTGTAAACTTCTTTTATTGACCATTTTATTCTAAGAAGCAAGATCACCACGCATCTAGAAACCCATCAGTTACACAACCCAGGGCAACATGGGTTTAGAACAGGTCGCTCCTGTCTGTCTCAACTATTGGACCACTACGACAAGGTCCTAAATGCACTAGAAGACAAAAAGAATGCAGATGTAATATATACAGACTTTGCAAAAACCTTCGACAAGTGTGACCATGGCGTAATAGCGCACAAAATGCGTGCTAAAGGAATAACAGGAAAAGTCGGTCGATGGATCTATAATTTCCTCACTAACAGAACACAGAGAGTAGTCGTCAACAGAGTAAAGTCCGAGGCAGCTACGGTGAAAAGCTCTGTTCCACAAGGCACAGTACTCGCTCCCATCTTGTTCCTCATCCTTATATCCGACATAGACAAGGATGTCAGCCACAGCACCGTGTCTTCCTTTGCAGATGACACCCGAATCTGCATGACAGTGTCTTCCATTGCAGACACTGCAAAGCTCCAGGCAGACATCAACCAAATCTTTCAGTGGGCTGCAGAAAACAATATGAAGTTCAACGATGAGAAATTTCAATTACTCAGATATGGTAAACATGAGGAAATTAAATCTTCATCAGAGTACAAAACAAATTCTGGCCACAAAATAGAGCGAAACACCAACGTCAAAGACCTGGGAGTGATCATGTCGGAGGATCTCACCTTCAAGGACCATAACATTGTATCAATCGCATCTGCTAGAAAAATGACAGGATGGATAATGAGAACCTTCAAAACTAGGGAGGCCAAGCCCATGATGACACTCTTCAGGTCACTTGTTCTATCTAGGCTGGAATATTGCTGCACACTAACAGCACCTTTCAAGGCAGGTGAAATTGCCGACCTAGAAAATGTACAGAGAACTTTCACGGCGCGCATAAACAGAGATAAAACACCTCAATTATTGGGAGCGCTTGAGGTTCCTAAACCTGTATTCCCTGGAACGCAGGAGGGAGAGATACATGATTATATACACCTGGAAAATCCTAGAGGGACTAGTACCGAACTTGCACACGAAAATCACTCACTACGAAAGCAAAAGACTTGGCAGACGATGTACCATCCCCCCAATGAAAAGCAGGGTGTCACTAGCACGTTAAGAGACCATACAATAAGTGTCAGGGGCCCGAGACTGTTCAACTGCCTCCCAGCACACATAAGGGGGATTACCAACAGACCCCTGGCAGTCTTCAAGCTGGCACTGGACAAGCACCTAAAGTCAGTTCCGGATCAGCCGGGCTGTGGCTCGTACGTTGGTTTGCGTGCAGCCAGCAGCAACAGCCTGGTTGATCAGGCTCTGATCCACCAGGAGGCCTGGTCTCAGACCGGGCCGCGGGGGCGTTGACCCCCGGAACTCTCTCCAGGTAAACTCCAGTATTTTCAACTACAACTTTTATATCATCCTGTCTACCATCTTAATAGCATATTATAACCAAGTCATTGCCATTTTTATTTTTATCATTTTTTTTATTATTCTTTTGCTACCTTAACTTGTGTATTTTATCCTGTCAATTTAAATCTAGTTATACTCTAATTCTTGTAAACAACTTATATAAGACCTTAGTGCAATTACAATTGAGAGTCTTGCGCCTTTTTTATATCATTAAATTAAACTCAGTTGTACTATAGTCAATACCAGATTCATTATATTAGACCATAGTGCAATTACTAGTGAGAGACTGGTGCTATTTTTAATTTGTATTTTTATATTATTAGATTAAATCTAGTTGTACTATAGCTCATTCTAGCTCAAAACATATACTCCACAAAAGTCATTATATTAGACCTTAGTGCAATTACAAGTGAGAGTCTTGTTCTATTTTAAATTTACTAGTTTATACCTAGTTGTACTTTAGTTCATTCCAGCACAACACATAGACAACATCAACTTCATTATGTGTAGTAATGACTATACTCTATATGACCAAAATACTCTAGCTATATACTTGTCCAAACTTCCCACCACTACAGATATCAGTACTAGAACTCAACACATAACTCAGGATATAAATAACCATAATTTAAACCTAGAAGATGATTGATCACGTTGACCCTGATCTAAACCTCCATAATCTGACACCCAATCAAAACCTATTGGGAGCGCTTGAGGTTCCTAAACCTGTATTCCCTAGAACGCAGGAGGGAGAGATACATGATTATATACACCTGGAAAATCCTAGAGGGACTAGTACCGAACTTGCACACGAAAATCACTCACTACGAAAGCAAAAGACTTGGCAGACGATGCACCATCCCCCCAATGAAAAGCAGGGGTGTCACTAGCACGTTAAGAGACCATACAATAAGTGTCAGGGGCCCGAGACTGTTCAACTGTCTCCCAGCACACATAAGGGGGATAACCAACAGACCCCTGGCAGTCTTCAAGCTGGCACTGGACAAGCACCTAAAGTCAGTTCCGGATCAGCCGGGCTGTGGTTCGTACGTTGGTTTGCGTGCAGCCAGCAGCAACAGCCTGGTTGATCAGGCTCTGATCCACCAGGAGGCCTGGTCACAGACCGGGCCGCGGGGGCGTTGACCCCCGGAATTCTCTCCAGGTAAACTCCAGGTAAAGTAACTGCCTTTATTACACAGCATCACAAGCCAGCACTATCCTAAACAATGCTAAAAGTCTATCAATACTTAACTACAACATCAGGTCCTTAAGCAAACACTATGATGACCTCCTGGCACTCCTTGAATCACTAAAGACACCCTTCT